CAGATTATAAATTAGTTAATTAAGCTCTATTTCTCAAAATGCCATAACATAAAGGTATGTGTTAAGGCTTGAATTGTGTTTCCCCCAAAAGATGCTGAAATCCTAATTCCTAGTTCCCGAGACCTTGTTTGGAAACGAAGTATTTGCAAATGCGAGAGTCAAGATGAGGTCACCAGGGCAGGCTTTAATCCAGCATGACTGGTGTCCTTATAGAAAGGAGGGACGTGGGCACACACAGGCAGGCACACACACGGCAGAGCACGCGCAGGCTGAGGTCATGCCGCCGCAGGTCGCGGACCTCCCAGAAACAGACCTCCCCCACAGCCTTCAGAGGGAGCAGGGCCCGATGACAGCTTGAGCTTGGACTTCCAGCCTCCAGAACTTTGAGATAATAAAATTCTGCCGTTTAAATCAATCAGTCCTTACAGTCCTTTGTTACAGCAGCCCTAAGAAAGTAACCGAGTATTCAAAATGATTTTAGTTGATAGATGGTTTAACTTTAAAAATTTAAGTTATATATTTATATTAATCAGGATTGAAAAATATGACAAACGACTCGAGCCTGTGACTTTTAGACTTAGGACTAGGCGGACGGGGGTGTGCAGTCAGCAGCTGGCGCTGTAGTGGCACGTGAAGGGCCGTGCCGGGGAGACGTTAGAGCCAGAGCCCCTGCAGCCAGGGCTCAGCACTGGCTTCCCCAATCACCGGCTGTGCCTGGGCCTCGGTTCCCGCTACACGATGGTGCTGATAACAGTAGTACCTACTGCACAGGGTGTTTGGGTAGTTAAATGAAAAATTACCTTTGCATGTACAGCACATGGCCTGGGAACTGGTGCAGTGCTTTGTAAGTGCTGGCTCCTCATTGTATTGCTCAAACATGAAGCACCTGGAGACAGCAGCATGTCCGTGAAGGACGGAGTCTCAGCGAGCCCGGCAGGATGGCCAACCACCACCAGGCTGCGCCCCCTTCCCGGAGCTCTGGCAAGCAGCACACTTACCCTGGCTTTCGTTTCTTTTTAACAGCTTGTTTTGGAGGAACTTTCTGAAAACCCATTTTATTTTTCACACAGAGTGAACACCAGCAGTGCAGACAGGGGTCTTGTCAACGTGAGCAGCAGGCAGCGGAGCCGGTCCCGTGCAGAGGACGCAGCGTCACGTGAACTGCCGCCCAGCCTCTCCCCGCTGCCGGGGCTCCGGAGCGACCCAGGAATACGGTTTGTCCCACGGCCCCTCCCCCGTCTCTCCTTCTCCGCTTCCCAGCTCTTCATCTGACCAAAGCTGACAGATCCAAAACTCACTAGTATTTCCTGACACTTTACATGTGACATCTTCCTCCTCACCCCTACGGACAATGTCTCCATTATTGGGATTTACAAACACAAAAGCTCTTTAACCCATTAGCTGCTGTGACCTTGACATGCCCTTGTCAACACATCACTTGTACAGTGATTCCCTTCCCACCTCTACTATCCTCCGGCCCCGTGCAGGCCTCTTTCTAGACTGGCTTTTGCTAAGAAGTCCCTGGGAGCTCAGGTCCTTGCTCTGCCCATTGGCTCCCGGCTCTTTGTGGTTGTGGGGGCAAGGAACCTCCCCACCTGCAGGCCGGGTCTGCGTCCGGCTCCCTGCTCACACCAGCAGCAGCAGCACACAGACCAGAGGCCCCGGTCTGCCTCCAGGGGCTTAGTGCTTCGCGGCTTCTCCAGACCCAGACCCCAGCTGCAGGTGCTTCAGTCCCCTCACGGCACAAATTTAGAACATACCCCAGCCACATGACAAGCCAGGGCTCCCCATCACCACTGAGTCTCAGCTCTCCTGCCCCATCGCAGCAGGCTGCCTATTGCCCAGGTTCTTGCCCAGGTTGTACAGAGTAAAATCTCACAGTCTAGCCACTGGTAACACTCTGAGCCTGAGCCACCACCCTCTCCATCCTGCAACGGTCTCTATATTGGTCACCCCACTTCCACTCCAGCTCCCAACAGGCCATACTTCACGTGGCAGGCAGAGGGATATTGTTAACAGGAAAACTAGGTCACGGCCGCCCCACCTGCAAAGCCACAGAGATCTTCCTGGCTCCGTGTCCTCCTGCTGGTCTTATATTGTTCTCTGGTCACTGCCCACCTCTGTGACTTCATCTTGGCTGCCTTCCCCTCACTCCCTATGCTCCCACCTCCAGCCTTCTTTCCAGTGCTTGAGCCAACTGAGCTGCTCTTTCTACCTCAGGGCCTTTGCACAGGCTTTCTCCTCTGCAAAGCACTAGTCCTGGAAATCTAGTCATTCAGTTCTCAGCTCAAGTCTTCCCTCCTCAGAGAGGCCTGCTCTCACCACACTGCCCAGCTGCCCACAATCTTCCAGTTGCTGTCTTGGTAGTAACTGTCACCATCCAACCTTCAGGTTTGTCATCTATCCCTGCCCACTAAAATATAAACGCCACGAGAACAGGGACAATGTGTTGCTCACTGCATCCCCAGGGCCTGCATGCTTGCTGCCAGACCCCGATTGCTTCCCTCGATTCCCCAACCCAGGGCTCTGTGCACTGACCTGCAAACCACTGCTTGAGTCACAGTTAAGCTTGCCAGGACCTACATGCCCACGGACCTCCAGAGCCACCTGTGGCCAGCCAGCCCCAGAGGAGCAGCCAACAGAGCTAGTCAGAGCACAGGGCCTGAAGCCTGGGTATGAATCTCACCTCGCTGTCCTGTCTGTTAACTCTAGGCAGGTAACTCTCATGTTCTCAGCCCCGGTTTCCTCATCTAGGGAGTGGGAGAACGGGGTAACAGTGTCCACAAGGGAGTTCTGAGTTCGCTACCTGTCACCCACCCCCTCTGCCTCTGGGGGCAGCGCCAGCGTCTCCCTCACAGAACCGCTCCTGACCTAAGCCAGGCAGTGAGAAGCAGCTCCAAGGCTCCGCTGACAGTGTGGGAACAGTACCAGCCAACCCTGACCACGCACTTGCTCTGAGTCAGGTGCTCACGTACGCAGTCTACCTGCCCAGCCCGAAATCCTGTACCACCCTCAGAAGAGGTGCTATTCTGACCCGTTTGGCAGAGGGGAGAATGAGCCCAGAGAGGTTAAGTAACCCGCCCAAGGTCGTAGCACTGGTAGGTGGAAGAGCAGGACCTGCACAGGTGGTCGGGCTGCAGAGTCTGCCACGCTACTCTCCTGCCAGGGTGGCTTACAGGGGGTGCTGTACGCCCAGACCTGCTGGTGGCCCTCTTACCACCCCACCAGCCTGTCTGAGAATGCAAGGCACATAGAATAATGCGGAGCTGAGAGGTGGGGGTCCTGCTGAGCCAGAGTGCTGGAGAGTCAATTCCCCGGAACAGCCTCCCACCCACGAGGAAGGGAAAGGGTGTAAGAGCCCCGCTCCCTCACCCCCAGGCTGGGGGGCAGTGGCAAATGTGGAGGCTCGTGCTCAGCACGGCCCCCAGAACGCCCCAGCCAGGAGATCCTGCGCTTGCCCAGTGAACTTGCTTGGCGATGAGGCCAGTTTTGGCTCCTTCCCATTCCCGTCCCTACCAGGTACCACCCCCCAAATACACTACTTGTTCTTGAAACCCGATCTCAGAGTCTGCTTCCAGGGGAACCCACACCAAGGCCATAGTTACACAGCACCAACAGATGCGCAGTAAGTCCGTGGTAGCTGCTGCTGTCTCCTCCGCCTGACCTGGGCTGCTGGGAGGAGGGCTCCGAGCCTCAGACCTCAGGCTCAGAGTGCGTGGGTCCCGATCTCTGGACTGGGACTGGGGCTGGGGCGGAGGGGCTGATCCCCCCACCAGGTCCCAGAAAACAGTCCCTCCAGCCCCCCATTACACATGTCAGGGTCCCTGGCTGGCTGGGGCTGGGTTTTGCCCTGGGGGGCAGGTCGTTCCAAATTCTTGGGACACCAGGATGCCTTGAGCTCTTTGTGATCTTTTGGGCCATAGAAACCAGAAGTTAACACCACACCCCCAACCTGCACTCCAGCCACACCCCCTGGATTCTGGGGCCATCTGTCTCCAGCCTGCAGGGAGTGAGAACTGCTGGTTAGAGACGCTGCGGCGCAGTCACCTGGCCTACGGCTGCCACACTCCAGCCGGTGAGTCCGGCGCTCCTGTGAGCACCTAAGCTCGTCTACAAAATGGGGGCAACGGCAGGACCTGCCTCAAATGCTAGCGATAAGGGTTGTAGTTCACTTATATAAATTACATACAGGATCTACTTACATACAATACAACCAAGCGTTTGCAACGGCAGCTGGCTCCCGGTTGGCACTCAATCAGTGTAGCCTCTCATTTCATTAGGAGAGCAGCAGACTGGCTCTTTACCTCAAACTCTGCTGTACTTTTAGGGTTCAGTACCATTTGCATGTATTATTACCCATATGATTAAACAAATTAATTGAAAAGGAAAAACAAAACAAATGTTCAGTTATAGCCACATCTTGGCCATAGAACCAGAAAGGTGGTGTGATGGTTATGGGTCCACGGGGCTGGGCCACCGGAGCCCGGGTACGTGGCCCAGTGCTGCTCTGGGGCTCTGAGAGGACGTTTCAGATGGGACTAACATTTTAATTGGTAGAATAAAGCAGACTGCCCTCCATAACGTGGGTGGGCCTTGTCCAATCAGTTGAAGGCCTGAATGCCACAAGAAGACCGACCCTCCCCTGAGTGACAGAGAATCCTGCCTCTGGACTTCATCTGCAGCACTGGTCCTTCCCGTGTGACGGCCTCCAAACCTGGACGCTGGTTCCCCCTGTGTCTCCCGCCCGCCATCCGTCCTACAGATTGGACTTGCCAGCCTCCGTGACTGCACGAGACAGTCCCTTGTAATCTCTCTCCCTCTCTGTTTCTCTCTCCCTGGTGGTTCTGTTTCTATGGAGACCCTGACTAAAAAATACATTGCAAAAGGTCAGCTCAGACTTGGCGGAGAAGGTAGCTAAGCAAGGACTCCTCCGAGACAGCACCCTACTGAGAACGACTCAGGCCCAGTCCCAGCCCCGCTCAGGGGCCCTGAACGCTTACTTGAACATGGCCTCTCCTGGTCTGGGAGTGCAGTGGGTGGCTGGGGAGTCAGGTTTGGCTCCAGTTTGCTGGGAAGAAAGACCTCAGCATTGTCCTTTCGCTTAGCAGACAGATTTCTTTCCTTTTTATTACCTGTAGGAAAACAATTATTTACATGTCAAACACTGAGTGCAAGCAGAGTTGGGACATGCTACTCAGGCAACTGTTTGTTCGTTCACTTAATTGCTCAACAAGTATTTATCGGACCCCTATCGGGTGCTGGGCCCCAGGCTCCGTGGGGTCAGAGATGCGAATAATGCTGGCGATGAAGCAAAGGCTGCTCAGAGCCGCCACATGCCGGGCACTGCAGTCGGGCACATACATGAACTACTCCAGGACACACACTGGTTTTCAAGCTTTAATGCTTATGAGTAGGGCCAAGCCTCACAACCGATGAGGTATTGATCTAAATGGCAGCACAGCATGTAAAATAATGGCGCAACCGAGGAGCTGGAGTTGAGTTGAAAGAAAACAGTAAAGCACATGTACTGCCTGCAAGGAAAGGAGGGCTGAATGGCTCGGAGAGCAGGCCCGGGGCACAGGGTTCGGGGACCGGGCCGGGGCAGAGCACGCAGCGTGGACAGTGGGGCTGGCGGGCGTGCAGCAGATGAAGAGGGTGTTACCAGGGGCTTGGAGCTGGGGGCGGGAGCAGCGTGTGCGAAGGTTTGACAGCGGGAAGGTCTGCGGCAGGTGAGCGGCTGGGGACTAGGCTGCTGAACAGAGCCAGACAGCGAAGGGCCCGGGGGCCGTGCTTCAGAGGCCGCGATTCCTTAAGCCGAGAGCCTGGGCCTCGGGTGGAACGGGGATGCTGATGCCGGATGTCATGTGGGCATTTTAAGCAACTGCACATCTGAGTGTGTACAGAGAAAAAAATATAACCCAGCTTATCGATCCTTGATTTTATGAATATTATTGCTTGGGACAATCCTAGAATTATGAAGAAGAAAGAAAGAGAAAGGAAGGAGGGAGAGAGAAGGGGAGGGAGGTGAAAAGAGGGGAGAGAAGGAGAAAAGAAAGGTGCTGATTTAAATAACGGCTACAACTTCATGCAGGGAGTTTGTGGAGATGGCAAAAAGTTGTAAAGAAGGTACGTGAGTGGCTCACGTTCAGGGAACACAGCCCCGGGGCCTAGCGGCCAGCACAGACTTAAGAGCTCGAGAAGGAGGAGGACTTGGGGCGCCAGGCAGGAAAGCAGCCCCGTAGGCGGGCAGGCCGGTGGCTGGCCGGTGGCTGGCCGGTGGCTGGCCAGGACGCGGCAAAGGTGCGGGGAGAAGAGCTATTCCTGCAGGTGCGGCCTCCTGGCCCGGGCAGGTGGGAGCCTGGAAAATGCCCACTGAAATGCGGTGTGACGTGAGTCCCAACAGATGAAATCCAGGGGCTCGTGGTGGCCCCAAGAGCTGGAGTTCCAGAATCGAGGGACCCATGGGATTCTCGGGAGCGCAGGGTAGGTGCTGGGGACTGCTGGGGGTTCCAGACTTCCACTAACCTCCCCTCCATCCCCTCTGGACTTTGGAAAGACACACGTTTCTCTACACTTTTGAAGCAGCGGCTCCCTGTTCGTTAGTCTGACACCCGGGGCAACGCAGATCGGTGTGTGACCGAGGACCCAGGATGCCTGACGAGACAAGATGAAGAATGAGGACGGGGGAACGACCACGAGGTTGGCTCCCCGGATGCTGATGACGGTAGGAGCACAGGCTGCCCCATCTGCTCCCCCGCCGTCCTAGAAGAGAGACGCTGGGAGGAACAACGCCACCAAAGACCCCGGCAAAGGGAGATTAGCCACGCTGAGGAGCTAATGTTAAACTCAGATTATCTTGCATTACCCCAGTGAACCCAATGTAATCACAAGGGTCCCTAACGGTGGAAGAGGAACAGAGTTTCGGTTTGGGACAGAGAAGAACTGTGGACAGTGGTGGCAACTGCGCACAGTGTGAGTGCTCAATAACGGCAAAGCTGAGCTCCTGAGGGTGAGGAAAATGGCAGGTTCTGTGTTAGGTACACTTTACCACCACAGCTCACACACACACTCACTCACACACATACTCACGAGGCGGCAGCAGAGGCAGGGCAGAGGCAAGTGTGACCACAGAAGAAAGGCACATGGAGACAGGACACTGCTGGCCCTGCAGAAGCAGGAAGGGGCCTGGAGCAGAGCCCGCGGCAGCCTGTGCAAGCGGGCGTGGGCGCAGGCAACTAACACATGCCCCCCGGAGCCTCCTGGGGACACAGCCCTGCTGACCCCGATTTCAGCCCAGTGAGATGCACGTCAAACTCCTGACCTACAGATCTGTGAGGCAGTGAATTTGTGTTAAGCCACCGAGTTTGTGGTGATTTATTACACCAGCAATAGGAAACTAATACACACTAGTACAGAGCAGGGCTCTGAGGTCAAGTCATTTGTTCAAGGTCACAGAGCTGGGAGGGACAGACCCAGCACTGGACCAGGGCTGCCTGGCTTGGAGTCCTCGCCTACCCATGGCCCGCCACCTCTCCATGAGACAGTCCTGCGGACATGGGCCCAGAGGTCCGCCTTAGCCAGCAAAAGCCCGTGAAGGGTATTTTCTCAGGCTCCAAAGACCCAGTCGTTCAGAAGGTGGCCTGGGCTCACTGCTGGCCTCATCTTGTAGCACATTCCCCTGGCCCTGTTTCTGTCCATGGCTGCACCAAGCTCTCCCCACTTCAAACCCTTTGTGCTTGCTGTTCCAGCACCTGGGATGCTGTCCCCATGGCTACTTCCTCCTCCTCATCCCTGCGCCAGCTGAAACCTCACGCCCTCTAAGGCCTCTAAGACCACTGCAGCTATCAGCGCCCTGCTCCGACCCCCACCCCACCAGTGTCCCGTTTAGTCGTCTTCACAACCTCCAGGTTCTGAGTCCCCGAGCTAGCCCAGCCCTCCCCTGCTCCAGTTACTGGAAACACAACTTCTGCCCTTCTCCATGCTGCTCACCCACTGCCCGTCCCTCACAAGGACAAATGGGATGGGGAGGGCAGGGGCAGCGGGCTACTGGGGCTCCAGCCAGCCTCTCCCCCCTCTCAGGGCACACAGCCCCCCCTCAGCCCCCGTCCACATGCTGAGGCTGTCAGCAGTCCAGCTGGGCCGACACCTGGGCTGGCGGTCCATCTGCGTCAGTGACAGTCCTGAATCGCCACCTGTCCAGCTCTGCTGGTCAGAAAGACAACAACGTGCCCTCCTATCCAAACCCCCACTGGCCTCCCATTTGTCTCCCAACGTAGAAGGACAACCAGCCTGGGTGGGGTGCGTATTGGCTCCTCGGAGCCCAGTTATCGCCTGGGAACTATCTTGTTTACGTGGTCCAGTGGTTAAGAGCCCTGGGGAGCGGGTCCCTCTCGGCCCCTTCCTCGCGGTGGCCTTGGGCGAGTTATCTGACCTCTCTGGGCTTCGGTTCCCTCCCCATCTGTAAAACAAGTACTTTCCTTGGGGATGTGGTGGGGGTGAAGTGAAGGACTATACGTATAGCCCTTGAAATACTGCTTGGTCCATGTTAATAAGAACTCAAGAAATACTGACAATTGTTACGGTCTATGTGTCTATACACTTACTGTCTGTTTTCCCTTCTAGGATGAAGAGCTGTAGGAGGAAAGGGACTGGGCCCAGCTGTCCCAGCACACTGCTCGGGACATGGTATGTGCCCAGTATGAAGGAATGAATGAATGAACAAACGAACAACTGAACAGCCCAGAACCAAGCACATCTTTCCAGGTTCCTGCTGACTGGTCTTGAGCCAACGCTCAGGATTCGTTCAGAACTCCAGCCTCATGCTGGGGTCCGGAGGGACCTGAAAACAGGCCCCTGGGCCTCCCTCCTGCTGCTGTCAGGGGGCACCCGCCGCCTGCTGGGACTGAAGAAGCCGGCCCAACGGGGCCAGAAAAGAGGCTGCTGATGAAAGGGGACAGTGGGGGGGATGCCCCACCCCTCTGCGCACTCACAGACCAGATACCACTGTGGTCAATGTGGGGCCCGACAGGCAATCTAACTGTTAAAAAGTGTGAAATGCCAAGAAAGTAAAGTTCGCCCTTTTTGTTCTATGCCCTGTGTCACTCTCAAACTGCCTTAGACCCAGCTGCTCTCCTCCTATGGCCTGGTCCTTCATACCAGCAAGTGACACCAGTCCTGGGGTGGGGGCTTGGTCGCCCCCTGACAGCCCTCCCTGCCCCCCCCCACCTCGTGGAGAAAACACAGTCCATGGCAACATGCACCTAACGGGTGTCGCACAGAACGTATCAGCACTGCCTCAACCACCGCTCCGTCATTCACCTGACAAAGATTTCCTGAGTGGCTCGGCTGTGCCAGGTGAGTGCCGCATGCTGGGGCTGCAATGGAGGGCTGGAGCCGGCCTGTGCCCTGGCTGAGCTCACAGGCCACAGGGGAAGAGGACAACTGGGGTCAGCAGGACCAGCGCCATGAGGGTGCTCTGAAGCAGCGGGGGCACCAAGAGTAGGCCACGCTGGGGGCGCAAAGGCGGCTTCTCGAAAGAAGTGGCTTCTCGAAGAAAGCAGCCTCTGGTCTGAGTCTTGAGAGGAAAGCAGGGAGCCAGGTTTCGGGGCTCAGAGTGAAAGGAGAGGAGATGTGCTGGTTCAGGCAGAGGGAACAGCCCAGCAAGGGTTTGGATGTGAGAGACAACCACATCTGAAGGACAAGTGTTCTCTCTGGTGACCTCGGCTTTTGGGTGTGGCTGCCTGTTATTATGTCTCCCCAAAACTCACATGGTCAAGACCTAACCCCCAGTGCCTCAGAAAGTGACTGTGGAAATACAGTCTCTAAAGTGGTAATTAAGGTAAAACAAGCCAGTTATGGTGGGCACTAGGACAGACACCCACGAGCCAAGGACAGATGCCTCAGGAGGGGCCGGCCCTGCCGGCCCCTGGTCCCGGACTTCCAGCCTCCACAAGTGTGAGAAAACCGATTTCCGTTGCTGTTCACGCCCCGCCCCCCGGGCTGCGGTACCTCCAAGCAGACGAATACACGCAGCGCCTGATCCCAACCAGAGGCGCACCCGCAGGAGCGAGCAGAGGCCAAGCCGGCGCTGACGGGAGAACTCGGACTGTTGCAGGTAGACCTGCCCCCACGCCCCACCAATTGTTGGGGTCTTTTTCCAGGATTTTTTCTGAAAAACCCTGGAAACATCGCTGGAAAAGCCTTCTCTGGTGGACAGCTGTGGTCCGTGCCTGCAGGCATGATTTCTGCCTTCTTCAGATACGCTTTGATTTTCTCCGGGAACTATTATCAGTTCATGTGGTTTGGGTGGTAATAACCACATCCATAGCTGGACCTGGCCAACCGGTGCCACAGTGACTACTAGTTCAGAAATGTGACCCAAAGTGGGTTTAAAAAGCAGGGCTGGGCCCTGACTGGTGTGGCTCAGTTGGTTGGTCATCGTCCCACAAAGCGAAGGGTCGCTGGTTCGATTCCCAGTCAGGGCACATGCCTGGGTTGCAGGTTCGGTCTCCGACACATCTGATTTATGTTTCTCTCTCACATCAGTGTTTCTCTGCCTCGCTTTCTCCCTCCATCCCCTCTCTCTACAAATAAATAAATAAATAAAATCGTTTAAAAAGAAAGCCAAGGCTGGGACTTTTGCTAGAGCTTTTAGGAAGAAAAATCCATTTTCTGATGGAGCTGCAAAACCAATGTTTCAATTATGTGTCCTTATGCAGAGCGCCTGCCTGAGAATGGTATCAAGACAAGACAAAAGGAGGAAGAGCTGAGAGGGAAGAAGGGAAGGAGAAGCAAAGGGAATGAACAGAGAAAGGAAAGGCAAAGGGGAGGACAGGAAGGAAGAGGAGGGGAGGGGGGGAAGAGGTCAGAGGAAGGGGAAGGAAAAGGACGAGGAGAGGAGAAAAAAAATGAGTCCCGCTAAGCTCTGGGCCCCTCAGGTATCCAAGCCAATACACAGTCCCTTTCGCTTAGGCCAGTTGGCATGCAGATGCTCCCAGACAACCCCCCACGCACAGGACAGCCCCTCCCACTGCCAGACACGTACCACCTGGAACTCCAGGGTCATTTGGAGGCCTTTGCCTCTTGCATCCACCAGAGACCCGACCCATACACCTCTCCAGCCTGTAAGACGGTCTACCCAAAGCTGAATTCAAAGTATGGCTGAAAACTTAAGTCTCACTATTAGATCCAGAGACACCAAAGGCAAAGAAATGCTGCGCAAGGCGGAGCTTACTTTTGGAAGCTGGGTTAAATTCCAGCACCACAAGGGTGTCTGGGCCCTGTGGGGGGTGTCCTTGTGTCTCCTGGCCCTCAAGAACATCCTTCCGCACCGAGTCCCCACTGGAAAGAGGGGCATCGTGTCTGGGGTCGCCCACAAGTGCCGGGTCCTCGGGCTCGGGCTCAGAGAGCACGTCTTCTTCAATGGAGTCATACTCGTCACTGGAACCATCCTTTTGTTTCTTTTGTAGATTTACACTAAGTTCCAGGCTTTTTCTTAGCTCCTGCCAAAAGTCAAGAAAAGTGAAAAATGAAATGTGTTACTTTTATTTTTAAAATACTTTTGAAATAGATCTTTAGAACCAAAGAACTATTTCTACTGAACTAACATTCAGCAAAATCATCTCAACCCACGTGCTATCATCACGGTGAAGACGAGAAAACAAAGGGCAGGGACAAGGGAGCAACTCTCTGAACAGGCTGGCGTTTACGGTACTGACTGTGCCGTTCCTGTGCCGGGATACCACTCGGATGTGTGTGCGTGCATGGGGACGTGGATGTTCACCTGCATGTGTGAGATATTTTGCTTTGGGGGCTTGTGAAAACAGATTGTGGGGTTCCCACCCACAGTTTCTGATTCAGCGGGCTCTGGACAGGGCTCAAGAATTTGCATTTCCAACAGCGTATTGCTGATGCTGCTGGTCCGGGAACCACACTGAGAATATGAAATCCCAGAGGCCTCTGAGTCCCACACCTGAAATTCCAGGTGGTCGGTGCCTGGTAGATAGTTGTGGGGGCTGTCTCAGGTACTGATGGATGATTAGAAGCACCTAAAGGTCAGGATACTCATAAAACACTTAACTATAACTGCTTGACGATTTTTTTCCATGTGTTTCATCTCCATAAGACTGTACATTTACAATCTTAAGGCCAAGAATTAAGATAGATAAGAATGACCGGAAAACTTATCACCAAGCCAGGACACTTTTGAAAAAGAATACTGGTAGGTTTATACTGGGACAAGAACTACAAAATGGACTGTTTGGGAAACACCAGTATGTTTGGGCAGCTGAACTACACCGCACCTGTGGCCCCCCCAGTATCTAACCTAGTCACGCAGAAAGGAGACCCAGTCGATAAAGGTTTGGTGGCTGACCCACAGATTTACTGGCCATTGCGGCAAGCTGAGAAACGACTCCCCAGAGATTTCCAAGTCCTCCTCCCTGGGCCCTGCGATTCAGGGAGGGCTCATGAAGAAGTATGAAGCACCACATGGAAAATTTTGATCATCTTAGAGAAACAATCCTAAACAGGCGGACGACAAATACGGGTGTCAAAGGTGCTGCCAGCAAGGAAATGAGGAAGATGCCATGGGCAACTAGAGGAGCAGGAATCCTGGCACACAGTGGCAAAACCGTAGCTGAATGATGTCCTATGGTTATGTGATAGATGAACTTTGTACATGATGGAATTGGATATTTAGCCACAAAGATTTCCAAGCAACGTGTTGACGATGCAGGCAGTCTGGTTTCTTCTTGCTACTTAGAGAGATTTGTGGAGGAAGCTCTTGCCTAATGGAATGAATTCTAGAGACCCACGTGGTTCTTGAGAACGTTACACCAGCAGAAATAACGCCAACCTGAACTGAATGGGAGGGAGGGAGGACAAAATAAAAGAAGGCTGTCAGACTCCTGGAATTCTGCAGGCAGGAAGCAGGTGGATGGAATAAGGACCCTGCATGAAAGAAGAAGGATGACTCCAAGAGTGGAGCCCTGGACCAGAGGGCGGAGCCCTGAGCCACAGAGAATTCTTCTTGGGCCTTACAACCTCATGGAGCCGGCCCAGTGGAGCTCGAACTTGCTTGGGTTTGGTGACACCTTTTTTTATTTCATTTTCCTCCCCACTGTGATGGCAGTTTCTGTAACTGCAATTCTGTGCCTGACCCACCGCTGTACTTAGGAGCAGATAACTGGTTTCCTCATTTCCCAAGTACACACACGGAGAGCAATTCTGCCCTAACGTGGGCAATAACCAGAGTTTCACCCATACCTGATTCACACGACAAAGATAATGATACTTGGGGAACTTTGAGCCGATGAGACTTAGAAAATATTTTGGACTTGAGTTGATACTGTAATGGGTTGAGACTTCTGGGACACTTTGAGGGCCAGAGGGCAGACGGTTGCAGGCTGGGCAAACAGCCCTCCAAGACGTTCACATTCTAATCCCTGGGACCTGCGAATGTCACCTCACACGGCAAAGGGACTTTGCAGATGTGATTAAGCGAAGGATCTTGAGATGGCGGAGGTTATGCTGGATCACCCGTATGGGCGTATGTAATCACGACCAGCTCTGGAAAACGTGGGCAGGAAGATCAGGGTCAGAAAGAGAAGCTGTAAGGACGGAAGTAGAGGTCAGGGAGGAGAGGGGCTTCTCTTCCAGAGCTTCCAGAAGGAACACAGGTCTGCGGACATCTTTTTTAAAATTTATTTATTTTTTATTGATTATGCCACTACAGTTGTTCTATTCCCCCCCTCCATTCCCCTCCACCCTACCCCCCGTCCCCACCATTACCCCCCCTTTAGTTTATGACCATGTGTCTCAACTTCTTTAGATTCTATATTTCCCATACTATTCTTGCCCCTCATCTATTTTCTATCTACTGTCTATGCTACTTATTCTCTGTACCTTCTCCCCCCTTCTCCTCCGCCCACTCCCCTGTTGCTAACCCTCCTTGAGATCTTCATTTCTATGTTTCCACTCCTGATCTAGCTGTCCTTTTAGTTTGCTTTTGTTTTAGGTGTGGTTGTTAATAACTGTGAGTTTGCTGTCCTTTCACTGTTCATGTTTTTTAACTTCTTTTTCTTAGGTAAGTCCCTTTAACATTTCATATAATAAGGGCTTGGTGATGATGAACTCCTTGAATTTGATCTTATCTGAGAAGCGCTTTATCTGCCTTTCCATTCTAAATAAAAGGTTTGCTGGATAGAGCAATCTTGGTTGTAGGTCTTTAGATTTCATGATTTGGAATACCTCTTTCCAGCCCCTTCTTGCCTGTAAGGTCTCTTTTGAGAAATCTGCTGACAGTCTGATGGGGACTCCTTTGTAGGTGACTGTCCCCTTAGCTCTTGCTGCTTCTAGGATTCTCTCCTTCATTTTAATCTTGGCTAATGTCATGATGATGTGCCTTGGTGTGTTTCTTAAATCAGTGAAACTGCCTTTGGATTTCAGACCCCCGGAACCATAAGATACACCACTCCGCTTCTGCTCAGTCGTTCCAGCAGCAACAGGACACTAACGGGGCTGTCTCCCTTTTCTGTTCTTCTTCCCATCCTGCCCGATACTGAGTATCAGTGATATTTACCGAGCAAATAGAACACTGCCTGGTATATAACAGGTGCATGACAAACATTTTCTAAATGACTATTTTGTGTCAGTGACTGGGCAGAGGCTGTAATAAGGGGTGGAGAGCACCCATGAGCCGCAGAGGTGGCGTTAGTGACGTGACCTTTCACAAGTCACTTCCCTCCTCTGATCTGGATTCTGACAACCAGAAAAATGGATCTCTGCCTCAAAGAGATCCATTCTATTAAAGCAGTGGTCCGGACTAGGGATGACGGTGCCCCCCAGAGGAAATCTGACAACGACTGGAAATGTTTGTGGTCACAGCTGGGGAAAGGGTGCCAGTGGCACCGAGGAGGCAGAGGCCGGAGATGCCGCCAACCCTGGACTGTGCTGGACGGTGCCCACGACAGGGAGTTATCTGGCCGGATGTCAGCAGCAATGAGGTGAAAACCCTGTGTTTAAGGGAGCATGTATTCAGCAATGGCATTTAAAGAGAGAAAAACAAGGTCTTCTAGCTGTGCGTACTGAGGCGGTCTGTACAGCCTGCATGGAAGCCAGGCTGAGGTCCCGGCTCGTGCCTTCAAAGTCTGAGTGTGGCGGGGTCGGTGCATCGCCTGCTCCCCCACGGGAAGACACGAGTCCCTGGGTGGGCTGCTCTTTAAAGTGGTTTCAGGGATTGTGAAACTAGTATCCCCTACAGTGGAATAATGCTCCGCACGTTCCAAAACACGCCCAACTCCTTCTCTCATTTGGTCCTCGCAGTGGCCCTGCAAGACAGGCAGGTGGACTAAAGCCCTGTGCCAACATGGACTCCCGTTGAAATAGCACAGGCGCCTGGCTCCTGCTCTTGGCCCAAACCCCAATCTCAGTGGGCTCAGCTTCCATTCTAGGTTCTGCAGGGGCGGACCCCAGGTCAGGTGAGACCACAGGGAGCACGCCTCTCTCTGGAGCCCCCATATTCTTGCCCGGTCACTGGTGAATAAAACAGTAAAATGAGTGCCAGCTACCCGGGACCTCCCTCGTTGGGAGACTGCTGTCCCTGTGCAGGAAACCCCAGGCAGTCCTGGGGCCCGCAGGTGTCCCCACAATGTCCACGGCAGAGTAAAGCACCGACCACAGACAGCTCCAAGAAGGACTGGGATGGGGTGTTAGGATTCTCGAACCCACAGTCAGCCGAGTGGGCTCCCTCCAGCCTTGTCATTGCCTTTCCAAGGTTGCAACCCCGCATTTTAAGTGAATGAATTTTTGGAGTCCCCCAACATGGGAGAACTGAGGCCTAGAACATTTAGGCTGGTCCAACTTGTTCCAGTGATTGAACAGCAGAGTCGTAACTTGTGCCCTCAGCCACTGCTCCCTGCTCCTTCTAGACTATCCAAATGTAAAACAGACTCTGTCACATTCCATCACGGTCTAGTCAAAGGGGAGGGCAATCTGGCAACTACCACCATTAATGCATTCACGCACGCAGGCATGCCAAGGGTGCTGCGCTAAGGACTGGAGTAATGGTGGGGAATGAGGTGACAAAGCCTCAAGTGGTAACTGCATTAAAAAAAAAAAGAAGAAAGAAACAGGCATTGCAGATGTGGTCAGGGCTGTGAAGGAAAGGACTTGCCTGGATGATGGGACAGCATGGGTGGGCAGAGGGAGCTCCTGGTGAAAGCTGGCCGGGAAGGCTGGGCGATGAGGAGCCACCGCACAGCGTGTCCAGCAGGGGGAGCAGCGGAGGCCGAGGCCCGCAGGCGGCACTGGCTGCAGGGCAGGTGCATGGAACAGAGGGAGGGCAGGAAACTGGGAGGGGTCGCCCAGGACAGGGCTTTGTAGGCCTCAGGGCAGAGTCCGGATTTGGTTTTACGCACAATGATAAGCCACTGAAGGGTGCTAAGGAGAAACAGAATATTACCCGATTTCTGTTTTTAAAGATCGCTATGGTGCTTGGATA